ACTAAGATCCCACAAGACGCGCGTGCGGCGCAGCCAAAAATAAAGAAAGAATGGTAGTGAGGCAAATCCTAGAAAATAATATGGTTGTTAGACCTCCCCCTTACTCCTGCCAGTTTTCCTAACAATCCTACTCCTCTACTATTCATTCTTCCCCCTTTTTAAAGAAATCCAATTTTAACTGCCTTTATTGAGTCTCCTGCACTTTGCCTTCCAATTTTAAAAATAATTTCCTGTAAAATTTACATGTATATGATAGCTTTGGTAGCTTTAAATCCTAAAGTTTAACATACCTGCCAACATCACCCCATATCTGTTCTAATCTTTTGTACATAACTTCTTGTCATTTAAAGTTAGACCAGCCCACTGAGTGTAATTTTAATTTGTCCTAATTTTTAAAACAATTTTAGCCCCAAAGTTTCTATGGAATGCTTCTACCAAAAAGGCGGATTTTTTTGTATTGTATTTCAAAGTGTTGGAAACACAATATGGTTTTTGTTGGTTTGTTTTGGGTTTTTTTGTATATAGTTTCTTTTTATCACACAGTCCTCATTGAAGTACAGATTCACATGAGTTCATTTGTGAATGTTTGACATTCCTGACCTGCCCGCCGGTCAGAACAGCTGAAGCTACATGCCTGGGAAAGTGAGGTCATTATTTCAATCCTAAAAATAACTTCTGCTATTTGCAGGAATGCAGGACTGTTTTAAGAGTTAATCAGGAAATGGTAGACAGTTTCATTCACTTTGGGCTTCAAAAATCTGACTCTCAAGGATTCATAAGTTTAAGAAAGATCTTGAAACAGTGGGGGGGAAAGTTGGGTGAAGAGGGTTGACAATTAACCTGTGAAGATGAATAATTGATAATTACTATGTTTTATACTACTATTAACAAGACTGTCCTTGGACAAAACTATTACCTCGTTGAATATGCAATTACTGAATGCCTTCAGGGCAGCAGACCTTTACACTCAACAGGATAGGTGAGCTAGATTCTTTAACCTCAGGAGACCAGCTTAAAATAGGAGCAGGACTAGTAACAAGGCTGCTCTTGGCCCTTTCAAGATTAGAATCTTAGCACCTGCCTTAACTCTGCCTTTAATGTGTTCCTGAATTTTGTTCAGTCGTTTAAGCAAAGTACTTTTTCCAGGGTATAGCCATGATGCTGAAATTGTTGAACTAAATTTACATTTCAACTAAAAAAAGAAATAACTTCTGCTTTGTTAACAAATTTCCAGTCAAGAACAAATAACATTGTTTCCGTACTGAAAAAAAGGTAGCCTCATCTACTAAAATTATCTCTTGCAGTATCTCCACTTCCATTTCAGATAACTGCTCAAAGAACCAGCCACCATTAGAAACAGTGGATAGTCTCTTCTGAATGAAATGTCTCCTCATTTAGTGATAGCATTCTCTATGTAGTAAGTAGGCTTTGCTTAAGTAAAGCTGATTGACAGTAAAAAGCTAAAGCATCTACTCCAACAGTGCATTTGATAGAAAAACTGGTCTCCACAATGAAAGCCAGACTTGAAACAAACCATTTCAAAACCAGCCTAATGGGGGCAGCCTCCTTACCCACCTGCTTATGATACATTATCATTTGGACTCCAGGGCCCAAATTTTATTTGATCAAGGAGCCTCTATGACTGCACGAGAGTGGGAATTTATGAGTGCTACTGGGAAAAAAGGGAGCAGGCCAGACTATATGAGACAAGTAAAAGCAAATTCTGGAAAGGAAAGGCAACTATTTTTTTTTTACGAAGTATGAGGGGGGAAAGGACAGCAAGAGATGTACTAGACTTTGAGAAGTGCAGGCAAGTTGTAAGAAGGATCAGATAGAAGATGGTAAAAGAGCTTAGTAGATAGAGCCACAACAGTGTTATGGAAACCAAGTGAATAATTTCAAGAGTGAGGAAGTTAGTAGTGTTAAACCACAGAAAAATCGAACACAGGAAAACTTAAATGAGGCCACTGGATTTGGCAAGTCGGTCACTTCTGCCAGAGCTGTTAAGGTAGTTTTGAGTGCAGAATCCATAGTGTAGCAGGAGACACGGACAATGCCTGGGTTTGGGGGTCAGGCCAGCTACATTTTAATCTCATTCATGCTACATCATGGCTTTATAACCTTAAGAAAGTTATTTAACCTCGCTCAACCTCTATTCATTTGTAAAATTGAAGTAATGCTCTGGCTCATAATAGGAACATAATCTATTAATATATAAAGCAGCATTTTTGTGATTAGGAGCAGTATGGGTTTTAGAGCCAGACGTGGTTGAGTGAATAATGCCTGTTATTTGATGAGCTTTGTGTCCTTGGGCAGGTGGCCCAGCCCTAAGTGTCAGTTTCCTCACCTGTTTAACAGGGACAATACCCTCCACATTTGTTGTGAAAATAGAAACACTAAAGCTAAATGGGTCTGGCACACAGTAGGTATTCAAATAGTGGTTATTCTGTTTACCAGCAGGGGCTGTTGGGCAGTGAGGAGAGGCTTGAAGGGAAGGCAGGACCAAAGAGCATTTCTTTAGAGATTCAAGCCTGTCTGTAGACAGAGGAAGAAGGCAAACGAGTGTAAGCAAATGAGTGAAACCAAAGGAATGATGTGCAGGAGCTAGGAAGAGATAGAACCTAGATCACATGTTGTAAGATTATTCTTAGAAAAGCAAAAATGGATACTGCTCCCTCTGAAAACAGGAAAGGGTAGGTGATAGGAGTTTAATCATAGTTGGAGATTAAAAGCCGAGGTTAGGAGAAAGGTCCATAGTGGTTTGATAGTAAATTGTCTCAAACTAGAATTTAATTAAAGGGTTGTTATGAGCATTTAATGAGAATACACATAAAAATGTGTGGTACCAAGTAGATCCTCAAATAGTTTATTTTAGATTTCCTGAGTAGGTCCAATATGCCAGAATATTTTGTGTCTTTCTAGATCCTCCTTAAGTGTACAATTTCTTGATTGCCCTGCAACCCTGGTTTTTATCTTTACTGTCCTGAAAGGCATTGCTGAAGCTAATCCCATATTGAAGAAACAGCCAGTTTTCCCAAGTCCCTGTATCTTTTTATCCTAGGTTTATATGTGCCTGCTCAAATAATAGGCATCATAACTTCTCTTTCACATTTATCTACATACATCTTGTAGTCGTAGTGAATATACACCTTGTTTTTTAGTTTAATATATCTTAAATTGTCATGTTTTGGCATACCCACCATTTTTGTTTCAAGTTTTAAGTATATTACCTTTTTTTAAACCATTCTTTTTAATGACCACAATAAACAATTATCTGGTATTTAGATATTCAGCTTTTCATTAATATTTTTTCTTTTGAATCTAGAGAGAACACTATACCCTAGGATTATTTTTCTATAACAGTGCTATCCAGTAGAATTTTCTGTGATGATGGAAATGCACTCTCTGTGCTGTCCAATAAGGACACTAGGTCACATGTGACTATTGAGCACTTAAAATGTGTCTAATATAACTGAGTTTTTAATTTACATTTAAATAGTCACATGTGGTTAGTGACCACTGTGTTGGAAAGCAGTTCTAGAAACAAATATGGAGATCAAAGTCAAAGTACAGAGTGTCTCAGCTATGATCTTAATTAAGGTGGCCAGGGTGAGGGCTTATGGTACAGTAATAGACCATACTTGGAAGAGCTCTCTGACAAAGACCTCAGAAGACAAAATGTTCTCAGGAGTGGAAAAATATTTAAATTATTGGACCAAAGGGCAGACTACAGCTAAGGAAAAGAGTAAATATTTTAGAACCAGATATGATTTCTCAACAATTGGTTTCAAACTCCATTGAGAAAATGCATTCAGTTAAGGACCTTGGGGCAGTGCTAACTCCGAGGACCACGGTATAAGCATCATCTGGGGCTTATTAGGAATGCAGATTCTTGCCCCACCCTCGACCTACTGAATCTGAATACCTGGGGCTGGGCTCCAGAATCTTTTACGTAGCCCCTAGGTTTTTCTTATTGGTGCTACTGTTTAAGAACTACTGCTATAGTGTTGAACACATGGTTCCTACCATATAGGAATTCCTGATCAAAGATATCTAATTTCTCATCAAACTTTTCTAGAATATAAGACTGGATTATTCGTTCATCTCCCTGCATCCCACACACGTTCAGGCAATCACAAGTGCTCAACGAAGGTTTGCTATTAAGTTGACTACCTTCCATTATCCGGAAATAGTAGTATCTATCTGTAATATTCCAAGGTAAGGGAACTTGAAGGTTATAGGCACAAACAATATCTAGAACAAAAATTGAATTATGTAGCTTGGTGGTTTCGTTTTGACCAAGAGCATTATATAGTGTGTGCGCGTTTGTGTGTGTGTGTGTAAATCTGCATTGTCTTTAACGAACCAAAGGAAAGCAAGTAACTTGAATAAAGCTTCCCTGTGGTTGAAAGGGGAAAACGTCACCAGCCGTGGCCTGGTAAGGGCGTAAACCTGATAATCTGAGGGGTAAAACAGGAGGGACAGAGGTAAATGATAGAACTCGGTCTGCGCGTGCAGTCTGTAAAGCAGGCGGAGACCGCTCGGCCGCAGCCCTCTTACCTTCCCCAGTGTGGCGCGGGACGGAACCTAAAAATTTGCTCGTTTTATCTGAAGTTCAAGTGTAACCAGGTGAGGTCTACTTTTACCTGCTAACTCGGGCAGCCCTGGGTGGGCGGCGCCCGCAGACCCCCAAACCTCGAGGGCTCGCGCCCGCCCAGCCGGGTCAAATTCCAGGCCGGCCCCGAGCCGGCCCGGGAATGCGGAAGGGCCGCGGGACACGCCGCGAGCGGCGGGGGAGGAGAGCGGGACGCGGCGCCCCGGCCGCGCTGCGCCTGCCTCAGACCGCACGGCCCGCGAAACAACACGAAAACCCAAGCCGTGGTCGTCGGCCCCAGCCCTGCGCCCAGGTGGAGAAGGTGGACTCGGCCTCGAGCGGAGCGAGAACCGCAGCGCATTCCCCCACCCGGGGTTGGATTCCGCCGCGACTTCCGCTGCGACTTCCGGTCCGCCTACCGAGGCAGGAAGTGCGGGTGTCGCCGCTCTAAAACTGCAGCCCCGCTGCAGTTTCGCGTTCTTCGCCTCGTTCGTCTCGAGCAGGCAGTCCGGCTTCTGGTGCTGGTGTCCGGCCGCGGTGAGTGGCGTTCGGCCCCCGCGCGCGACACACCTGGGGCCGCCCCGGTGCCCCGCCCCTCCGACCTCTCGTCGCCGCCAGACCCCGGCCGGCGGGCGGGGCGGGGACTGCGGGACCTGTCGGTGGGTCAGGGAGGGTCGGCGAGGAGGTCCGGCCGCGGCCAGCCCGGGCCTGGACGTCGAGGGTACGGGAGGCTGGGGCAGATGGAACCGGGCTGGGGAACTGCCCTGCTGGCCGAGTCGGCCTGTCCCCTGCGCTGCGTCACCCGACGGCTTCACACACCTGGCGCCTCGGCGGCCGCAGCCCCGCTCCCCGCCGGCGCGGTCGGTGGGTTTGGGTGTCTGCTTAGCCCACAGGGCTGGATGCTTTGGGGGCACAGGGGTCCGCTGGTGCGTGGTTCTTCCCGGAGCGCCGAGTTGATACCGGCTAAATGTAACGATTTCCATAGGAGTTGTGACTCTTCGCAGCACCTTGCATCTTGTAAAGATTTACTTCATTCGTGCTGACTGAAGAAGAGGACAAATAGCAAAAATCAGGAAAGGTTTTCTGAAAAAGAGAATCGTGACCTCATTGAAGGCCTTGGACTTAGCCCTGGTGGGGAGAACTTAGTATTTCTGGCTGTATCTGTGGCAGGAGGTAACAAGACCAAAAGTTCAAAAGGTGTGAATTGTGTCGTGTGAAAAGGAGACCAGCCCGAACGGAACAGAACTGTAATGAATAATAGTTGGAAATAGGTAGATCAGTGGGGCCTTTTCACGGATGTCTTGCAAACTTGATGAGAAATGAAAGATTATGTAAGAGACATTCGGGAGTCATTTTGGATTCTTCACTAAGGGAGTGAGATGAAGAAAGGGGTGTTTAGAGGATTAGTTTGGCAGCCTTGGTTTCGGACGGATTTGCAGTGGTCCTTTGGTAAGAAAAGAATTGTAGCATTTTAGAATTCAAAAGAAACTTATAGGTTATCTTTCGATTTATAATTGAAACCCAGTGAGGTGAGATAATTTGCCCAAGGTCACTTGAGGGGTTCACCTGCTGCCACCCATTTTCTCTGAGCATTAGGTGGACGTTCCTCATGGTTAAGTGCACGGCTTCTTGTTTGTTCTGGCTCTGTTGAATAAAACAGCTTTTGTGATGACCTACTCGGTACGCATTTATGCTTTAATGAGACTCAGTGTGGACAAGAGGAACTGCAGCTTCTGAAGGACAGGTCCCAGGTGAGGGTTGCTGGGCTTAGGAAAGATAAAAGGACTGGGATCCCCTAAATGGAGCCGGTTGTCCCTCTCCCAAGATTCGAAGACAGCATATATCTAGGGATGATTTTCATTGCCGGCAGCTTTGGGGTCTTTCTTCCCCGTTCCGCACTTTAGATGTGGTGGCTTTGCTTCTTACCCCCAACCAGCTCTCCACATTTTCATGGTGGAGAAATTCTGCCGCCTACATGCAGGATGTTCGGAGCTAGTGGTGCAAGCTCTGGGCTAGACTTCCTGAGTATGATCCTGCATCTAAGCTCTACGTTTTTCTAGCTGTGGCTGCAGACAGATTATTTATTCTCTTTGCCCTAATTTTTCCTTTGAGAAATGGGGATAATAACAGTGCCTATGTAATAAGTTGTTGTGAGAATTACATATATTAATACATATGAAATGCTTAGACCAGTGTCTAGCACATATTTAGCACTCTTATTAGTACTCTTTGTTCCAGGTACTTTTTGTTATGGATTTCTTGGGGAGAGTCCAGTGGAGTTTATGCTGAACCATGGGTAAACCATAGAGAAAAGCCATATTTTGCGGAGTCATATCTAGGGGGTGATGGGAATGTTGAAGAAGGGGTGACTCTGTTGCAGTTAAAAGAGGAACCCACAGAACTTGGAGAGAAATCGAATAAAAGGAATTAAAATTTGCTAACCAGGAATAGAAAATTTGCCTACCCAGTGCAAACTTGGCTGTGGCCCCTTTGAGGTTTTAAAAATTCTTTGGCTATAATTCTGAAATAAAGGCATTGCCCTATTGAATATTAAAGATGCCAAGGAAACACAACGGCTTTATTGGTTTTCTGTAGCTATATAACAAATTACCCCCAAACTTAGCACCTTAAGAAAACAATAAAGAGCTTCTGAGGGTCAGGAATTGCAGGGCAGCTTAGCTGGGCAGCTCTGGTCTGGCTCAGGATCTCCTGGAGTTGCAGTCCACATGTCAGCTGGGTTTGCAGTCATTTGAAAGAGGATCAACCTCCAAGATGGCTGACTCACCTGGCTGGCAAGTTGGTGCTGGCTGTTGGCAGGAGGCCTCAGTTCCCTGCCACATGGACCTCTCCGTGGAGTTGTGTATAGTACCCTGTAGACCTGGTGCTGGCTTTCCCCAGATTGAGTGATCTGAGAGAGAGCATGGTAGAACCGGCAACATCTACAATATTATGACAAAGTCGCACTCCATCATTTTCACAATATCCTATTAGTTATGAAGGGTGGCAGAATATGCCACCCCAAGATATGCCACTTTGGCATGAAGATTATTTTGAGCTGAAGGCAATTGAGAAGAAAGCAGACACAAGAAAGGCTCTTTGCCCTCCCCCAATGTGCCTAAAAGCAGGACACACATTTACAAAGGTGCTCTTCTTTCCCTCTCTACCAGGCAGGACAAAGGTTACTCTCTGGAGACAGCTTTAGACCCTTAATGGAGAAGGCCGTGGCTTGAATCTTGTTTATGCTGTGCTCTAACCTTCCATACCTAGCCCCTCCCCTCCACACATGCCTTTCTTCTTTTGGCTTCAGCTGAAGATGATATTTAAGCCAGAGTGCCAAGCCACCTCTGAGAGTTGGATTTTCCCTGGGTGTCTCCCCATGTATACATGAGGTATACGTGTTAATAAACGGTGTGTTTGTTTTTCTGTTATTAATCTGTTATTACAAGGCATCAGCCAAGAACTCAGAACCAAGGTCAGTGCCTTCTAAGTGTTTAAGTCAGTGGTTCTCAACCGTCACTATATATTGGAATCACCTGCTGCATTTTAAAAATACAGATTCATAGACTTCACCTGTAGACATTCAGTTTCAGTTGTACTAGACCAGGACCTGGACATCACTTTTTAAAAACTTCCAAGATGGGACTTTCCCTGGCAGTCCAGTGGTTAAGATTTCGCCTTCCAATGCAGGGGGTGTGGGTTCAACCCCCGGTCGGGGAGCTAAGATCCCACGTGCCTCCTGTCCAAAAAACATAAAAAACAGAAGCAATATTGTAACAGACTTAAAAAAAATAAAAACTTCCAAGATGATTCTAATGTGCAGCCAAGATTGAAACCAGAGGTTAACTGTTGTGAGAGCCATATTTACCTGCCATGTGGTAGCAGCACCTAGCTGACTTAGATGTTTCATAGGTAGCTAATAGAATATGCTCCATGAGCATCTTTTCCAGGCTTCCAATAAAGCCATATAGGCTGGATGAAGTTCACAAGCAGTTTCTGCTTATTAATGATTATAGTGCCCATGTTTTGATTTGCTCACCAGTATAGCAGGTGATTTTGCAAAAATTTAGATTATGACCTAAATATGTTGACACCACAACTACCTATAATACCCGTATTCCTATATCCCTGCCCTTCTTTAACCTCTAAAAATACTACATGTAACCTTTAGTTCACTCTATATCAGAAATATACAAAAATAATGAAATAAAAATTTTGAAGAGGAAGTAAGACTTTTGTTTATTCCCGTTAAGGCTTATTCGTTACCTTATATGCTATGTTCTAAATGGATATTTTTTGTAACTAAGGATGGTGTTTGGTGGGTTTTTTTCCTTTAATGTTTATAGGTCAAGTAGTAATTTCACAGTCGTACGTAAAGATTTCAAGCCTTTACCTACCATGTCAAACCAAAGCCATGACTGATAGGAAATACTGCCATGTGATAAACCCAATTGCACGGTTGCAGGGAGGGCCATTCATATCTTATTTTCTTCCCATTCCACTGTGCACTTCTAGTCTATACATTGGTTTCCCCAGCATAGTTTGAATTTATTTGAAAACAGAGTTTCACTAGGAATTAAATTTAGAGGAAAGTAGCTGCTCAGAAATCAGTGTTGGACTATATTGGTAAGTACTGAAAGTTTAAGAAATTTTTTGTGGTAAAAAAAATAACTAGCAGAATTGTATGAGGTAAAAAATATATAGGTAAAATCACCTTTAACAAATGGAGTTGCATTCTAGCTCTGCCACCAGGTGACCTTGGGCAAGTTGTTTAATAACATATTTTGATATTCAGTTCCTCCATGTGTAAAGCAGGCATGTTGAATTTAGCGCACCCGAGTACCTAGCATAGGAGTCACTCAGCAAATGGTAGTAGCCATAAGTTGAGTAGACTTTTAATTCTCTCTGGTCCTAAGGCATTTGGGGGCTAGAAAAATAGCGAGAACAAATACATGAGTTAAACTGCATGGTGCCTTGGGAACATACTAGTACCAATAGTTTGGTGTTGCTGAAGGAAAAGTACAAAGCAGAGAATGGCTAGCGATGAGGCTGAAGGGTCATCCTAGAGCAGGGAAAGGTGTGTGTGCCATGCTCAGGAACTTGTACTTTGGCCTATAGGCAGTGGAGAGCCGACAATTTCTCAAAAGGGAATGATATGGTCGTATTCATGTTTTACACACCTCTGGCTGGAAGATAAAGGATAGTCTAGAGGGGACCAAAAAGCAAGGAGGTTGGTTAGTTGGCCAATGAAATATTCTACACAAAGAGGTGATGAGGGCCCAGCATAGGGTGGTGGCAGAAGAATGAGGAAGATGAGCAAGTCTGATGAATATTTAAGAAGCAGGCTTGGTTCATCAGTGAGAGGGATGAGTCGGGGATGACTTGCATGTTTCTGGCTTGGTGAGGGCGTAAACGATGGTGCCATTAACTTACAGGAAACAAAGTTGAGAAAGTTTAGGAGGGGAAGATAATGAATTTTGTTTCTAACGTTGATTCTGAATGTCTGGAATATCAAAATGGGTGCCTTTCACAAGCACAATTGGCTGTTTGATTCCACAGTTCAAGGGAAGGGTCAGCCCTGAGGATACAGACGTGGGAGTCATAGGTGTTGTCAGAACAGTGAGAGCCGATGAGATCATCCAAGGAACACAGAGTGAAAAGAATTTAATAAGCCATGGACTGTGAGAATACTCGGAAACGTGAATATTAAAGTGAGTGGAGAAGATAAGAGCCTAACAAGAAAATGGAGGAGGACCAGGCATAGAAATAGAACTGAGAGGAGGTTGGTGTCACCAAGTCAAATACAGCATTTTACTGAAACTAAATGTGATCTTTAGGAGTCTCCCTTGTTAGAGTGTAAAGTCTTAAAGGCTGGGAACCTTGGGCTCTCGTTCCATTGGGACAGTTCATTTCTACTGTTACAGTTCATCAAGGCCAAGAGTTGTTGAGGCCTGAAGAGAAGAGGGATAAAATGGTGTCAAATATAGCAGAATGATCCAAGGAGACTTAGACCAGATTTGACAATTGGAAAGCACTTGCAAATAGAGAAGAGAAAGCCAGATTGTGATGAGTGGGAAGTGAGAAAGTGGAGAAAGCCAAGATATTTATCTCAGAAGTTAAGGACAGAGAGGGTGGTAGTTTCTTTGGGCGCCAGAGTTCTCTTTAGATTGACTGTTTTGCAACAACCTTGCCTCACTTTTCAGCTGAGGTTTTATTATCAGTTGATATTTTCTGTGTGTACTTTGTATATTTATATACAAATATAAATGTGCACTGGTTTTAAATGAAGTACAGAGAAAACGTAAACTGTTTTTCTTTTTAAAGAGATTATGGTGTCATTTCATTGAGCCATACCTGCTCTGTAACAGGTTTTGAATGGCGGCTCAGACTTGCTCACGGTATAATGGCTTTTCTAGCCTTACTGGGTTACCTCCTCATTCTCGCTCCCCGGCATTTTCCGTAATAAAGATCCTTGCATGTGCAGTCTCTTCTTGGCATCAGCTTCTTGGAGAACTCCAACTAAGTTTCAAAAATGTTTAAATATAATATACTTTTGGGTTAGCGGTAGCGTTTGCATGAAACAACTGATTATTTTTTTAAAATAAAGATTTTCTCTTTGGGAGGTTTTTCTAAATGACTATTGCAGACATAGTTTGCTGATACTGAGGGAGAGAACTAATTCTTGGCTTCAGATCTACTGTCTTTTATATCTTTTGAATCTTGAAGAAATAGAATCATAGAATTTTTAGCATGAGAAAGAATTTTAATCCAGCAGTTTTGGAATGTGAGGAAGAATTAAAGCAGAGTCAAGTGCCTTGCTAGTGGACCACATTCTGTCTCCCATTGAACCTTCAATATAACTAAGGTCACATGACTAGCTAGTTACAGGAAGGAGAAGAAATTAACATTTACTCAGGCCATGTATGCCCGGAGGGGAAGGAGTTGAAATGTTAAAGTAAGGACTCTAAGGCTGATGTGCTTCACAACTACAAACAGGGCTTCCCTGGTGGCGCAGTGGTTGAGAGTCCACCTGCCGATGCAGGGAACACGGGTTCGTGCCCGCGTTTGGGAAGATCCCACATGCCGCGGAGCTGCTGGGCCGGCTGAGCCTGCGCGTCCGGAGCCTGTGCTCCGCAATGGGAGAGACCACAACAGTGAGAGGCCTGTGTACCGCAAAAAAAAAAAACTGCAAACAAACTAAAACAATGTAGGTTAAAAGTCCAAGACCGGAAGTCCCGGAGACCCAGGTCCAGAATTCCCTTGCCCAGCCACTGCCCTCACCAGTCATCTGCTTTCACACTGCGAGGCTGCAGAGTTAGAGAACAGTCCCCAAGGCCACCCTCATTTCTGACACCAATTCCAAGTTTCGTTCCCCAAGACGACCCTCAGGTTCAGTAATTTGCTAGAACTTACAGAACTCACTGAAAGCTGTTACACCTATGGTTATGGTTTACTGCAGTAAAAGGATTCAGATTAAAGTCAACCAAGGGAAGAGACTCGTGGTATGGAGTCCAGGAGAATTCCAAGTGCTTAGCTTCCAGTGGTCCTTTCCATGGGCAGTGTTGACCTCTCCTGGCAGCAAGGCGTGACGGTGAGCATGGAGTATGGCCTGCCAGAGAGCTTGCTTGACCCTTCATAGCCATAGTTTTTTACTGCGGCTCTGTCCCCTAGATACTGTCCCCGCTCCTAGGCTGACTTCAGTCTCCAGTTCCTCTAGAGGCCAAGCTGATTAACACTGACCCAGAGCCCCCATGATAAATCACGTTGTTAGACTCTCTGGTGTGACCCAAGACCCCAGATATACCAGGCAGAACATTCTAAGAGCTTAGAGATTACCTCCCAGGAGCTGAGGACAGAGGCCACACCTCTCTTACAAGGGCCATTGATTTTTTTTTTTTTTTTTAACCTAGGTATTACCTACCTCATAGGGCAGTTGTGAACATTGAATACGAAAGACAGTGGAGCAAACAATTATTCTGGTGTCCATGGGTTTTCAAGAAATGGTGAAGCTGAGATTCAGACTCAAGATTTTTCTGATTCCAAAGCCAGGAGTATTTTTGTGTTGTATTTATTTACATCATTTAAAACTGCAAATAAAAATGGAATGAGAAGGGAATTCCCTGGCGGTCAGTGGTTAGGACTCGGAGCTTTCACAGCCAGGGCCCGGGTTCAGTCCCCGGTTGGGAAACTAAGATCCTGCAAGCCACGTGGTGGTCCAAAGGAAAAAAAAAAAATGGAAGGAGAAGTGTCCATTCTTTTTGACATTTAAAACATTGGTGGCTTTCAGTAGAGTATCGGGCCACCACTAAAGGTGTATTACGGAGAATTGAGGAGTGATTGGGAAGATGAGAAACTGGAGAGAGTTGAGTAGTAGAGTACTATTCTAAAAGTTTTGTCAAGGGAAAGGGGAAATGAGGATGTAGCTAGAAGGGATACAAGACTAAAGATACATTTTGATGATTTTTTTTAAAAATATTTATTTATTTATTTTGGCTGCACTGGGTCTTAGTTGTGGCATGTGGAATATTTAGTTGTGGTACACGGGATCTTTAGTTGCAGCATGCGGATTTCTTAGTTGTGGCATGCATGTGGGATCTAGCTCCCTGACCGGGGATCGAACCTGGGCCCTCTGCATTGGGAGTGCAGAGTCTCATCCACTGGACCACCAGGGAAGTCCCATTGATGTTTTTTTTTAAATGAGAGCCTTTTGAGCATGTACCTTACAGTAACTATACTAGTCTCTTTGCATATGTTATCTCATTTAATCCTCACTTGCATTAGAGTAGATATTGTGTTTCGCTGTAAAACTGAGGGTCGAGTGAGGTTCCCTGGTTTTCAGACCATTTTGTGGAAGAAACCAAGACTCAGAGAGGTTATGCAGTATTGGTAGTAAATGAAGTTAAAAGCTGTCCCTACTGCATAGGATTGTTGTGAGGGTTAAGTGGGGCCATCCTTGTGAAAGTAAGATGTCCGCTTTGGAGCCTTTCTCTTTAGGGGAGCCCTCTGCCCTCATAACAGTGCTTCGCACGTAGTAGCACTCGGTAAATGCGATCTGTTGCTATGTGCTTTAAAACTCATTCACATTTAATAAAAATGAGGTTCGTGAAATTTGGGATGAAGCCACATCAATCATTTCTATTCTGTTTCTTCAAAACTGCTTTTGTCCTAGCTGTTTAATTGTGACATTGGAAATAAAGTTTATATGTATATTCCCACCCAAATAAAGTAATAATTCTACAATACATTGAAATATTTTTTCTCACTGACTTTAGGTGTTGTGAGTTCTTTCTTTTTGCTTTATGTTTTTATGCATTCGGTTTTGCTTTATGTTCTGTTCTTTTTAACTCTAGGATTAAACCACCACCATGTCTAGCAAAAAGGCAAAGACCAAGACCAAGAAGCGCCCCCAGCGCGCAACCTCCAACGTGTTTGCCATGTTTGACCAGTCACAGATTCAGGAGTTCAAGGAGGCCTTCAACATGATCGATCAGAACAGAGATGGTTTCATCGACAAGGAAGACTTACATGATATGCTTGCTTCTCTAGGTAGACTTTTATGTTCTTAATATTCCTGCTTCCCCAAAATAATTAGCGTTTTATGAATTATTTTTTGTGTGACGTACAGATATTAATCTCCTGGTCTCAAAGGCCTCTTGAGAGATGTTGGGTGGGAGGCACCATACTGAGGCTTGGCCCGTCGTAAGAGGATACGCCTTCAGGGGTGGGGGCCTGGCTGCCACTGTGGCTAGGCAGGCTTCCGTTCCTGTTAGCTAAACATGATAGGTCTACAAGGTGAAAAGCCAGGGGATGACTAGATGGCAAGATACCAGAATCTTAAACAAAAAGTGTGGACAATAATATAATGTATTAAGTAATAAAAGTTGAGGACAGGTTATATGACAGAGGTGAACGGTCATAAGTGATAACGACCATCTCAGGGAGGAAGGGCAGTGCTCCTAAAAAAAGGGAACACAGGGAAGGGGGCTTCCACAATTTATATATTTTTTTTATAATTAAAGAAAATAAAATGTAAAGTTAGAAGATTTATCGATTTATTTTTACACATTTATTTAGCTATAGTTGATTTACAATATTGTGTTAGTTTCAGGTGTACAGCTTCAGATTCTTTTCCACTGTAGATTTATTACAAGATATTAAGTATAGTTACTTGTGCTATGCAGTAAATCCTGTTGTTTATCTATTTTTTGTATAGTGGTGTGTATCTGTTAATCCCAAACCCCTAATTTATCCCTCCCCCCACACCTTTCCCCTTTGGTAACTGTAAGTTTGTTTTCTATGTCTGTGAGTCTGTTTCTGTTTTGTAAATAAGTTGATTTATAATTTTTTTTTTAAATTCCACATACAAGTGATATGTAACATTTGTCTTTGCCTGCCTGACTTACTTCACTTAGTATGATAATCTCTAGACCCATCCACGTTGCTGCAAATGGCAATATTTCATTTAAAGATACAGGATTTAAAGCAAACATAAACTGCCTTTTGTCATTCTGGCTATGTCGGTGTTAATTTACTGTTCCTTATATGATTTTGTTATTTTGATCTTAAGGAAAGAGGGGAAAGTCCTCCATGTCCTGCCTGAATTGGCACTGATTTTACAGTTGGAAGAAAGGAGTATCAAGTCAGGGGGTTCTTGATAGGCCAGAATGACGGGCAGGGAAGGGGGCACAAGTCAGGGATGGCCCACAGGTAGGCTCTGCACGCTAACGTTTCTGTGTCTGACCATGAGCCAGAAAGGGCAGTTCAAGGGCCAGAGGACAAAGAGAGAGAATTTTGTTACTTTTTTCTTTTTAGTAACCACATGATTTTGTTCGTCTCTTTTATTTTTTTCTCCTAGCGTGTTATTTTGAAAGTTTTTAAGCCTATAAAACGTTGAAAGAACGGTGTAATGAACACGCATCCATCCTTTACCCAGATTCACGAGCTGTTAACATTTTGCAACATTGCCTTTATTCAGAGTGAGAGCTGAGTCTTGCAACATGGCCTTTATTCAGAGTGAGAGTTGAGTCAAGATACTGATCTGACTTGTTGACTTGCAGGTGGGGTGGATCCCAGTGTTTTCCACACTCTGAATAGCTAAGTACTAAGTGTCCTTTGGGGAGCAGGTCACTACTGAAGAAGGCCACCGAGGAGAATTGAGGGCCTGAGTTGTATTACAAAGATCGAACACTCAAGCCTATCCCCTGGTCCTAGTAGATGCTCAGTTAATTTTTGTTGGTTGAATGAGTGATGGTAGAGTAAGAGACTGACTTTTGGGGACTTCCATTTTGGGGAATGCCATGCCTTTAGAGATACATATTTACCTTTTAAATCAACAAATTATATTAGATGCCTTGATGTCCATAGGTGCTTAGCCTAAGCCAATTCATTTTAAATCCCTGTGTCTTTTTCGTACCCATGTTCTCTTGACACCTTTGGGTTACACTTTTTACCCCAAAAAATTGCTGCAAGAGAGTCGGGTTAAATCTGGAGGTAGAAAAGTAGTCCTTTTTAGCTACTTTCACTTACTCGAAGAATCTTGAGATTATTTTTGGGCTAATTTTGTATCGATATGTTGAATAGGTATAATGAGTGACGGTTGTAATGCAGTAAGACAGATGCCAACTTGGCATTTAATTTCACCCAAATTCCTGGGAGTAAAACTTACATATGAACCATAATTCTAGATTTGACTGTCATTAGCACTTAGTTGGGTATAATAGTGAGATGCTGACATGGATGCTCTTTTCATGGAGAATCATACAAACTTAATGTTGGAAGGGACCTTTCAGATACCAAGTTTAACTAGTCCATTAAACCCTAGACAGTTTCCACCTTGTCCCAGGGCACACAGTCAGTGGCAGAACTGGGATTCAAACCCACTATTCCAGACCCTTCGTTCAGTGCTGCTTTTCTGCACCATGTGGACCTCACAAATGCCAGGACAAAAAGAAGCTCTTTGTTACTCCCACCATATGTGGCCATTCCAGGGGAATTTCTCCCAACTTCGAGGGGAGGGTCAGGGGAGTTCCCTCACCACCATACCAGAAGAGGGAGAAGTGTCCTTGTTTGGAACTGAGATTAAGATTTCCCATCATGAACAATACTAAACAAGACTATATTTCAGCAATACGAGTAAACAGCATCTGGGGATATGTCTGACAACCAAATAGAACATAACATTGTTTAAAATGAGCTCCCAGGGACTTCCCTGGTGGTGCAGTGGTTGAGAATCCGCCTGCCAGTGCAGGGGACACAGGTTCGAGCCCTGGTCCAAGAAGATCCCACATGCCACGGAGCAACTAAGCCCATGTACCACAACTACTGAACCTGCACTCTAGAGCCCACACGCCACACTACTGAAGCCCGCGTGCCTAGAGCCTGTGCTCCGCAACAAGAGAAGCCACCGCAATGAGAAGCCCGCGCACCACAACGAAGAGTAGCCCCCGCTCGCCGCAACTAGAGAAAGCCCACGCGCAGCAACGAAGACCCAATGCAGCCATAAATAAATAATAAATAGATTAATTAATTAATTAATTTTAAATAATAAAATAAGCTCCCAGTTCTAAACCAACCTAATAGTTTCAGCTTAAATGGCCAACTTATAAATAAATTGTTTGAAGCATACCAATTATAGGCAACTTACTGCAGTTAGAAATATGAATATTTAGATTTTTTAAATAACCAATATTGAAATGCCCTGATGGGTCTTTAATGTTATCAGCATTCAAGATGTAGTAACGTGGCATTACCTGGTTCATAGTTTCATGTGTGTGTTTTATTTTTAATGAAAAATAGTGAAGGAAAAGTTGCAGGAAGTAGCAGTGAATGGACAGTATTCAACCTAAGCCCAGAATGCATTTTATTTATGATGTATCAAAGATTTTTTTATGTTGTTAAAAATTGTCTTTTTTAAATGTTCTTAATGTAAGTTAATTGAAATATTAGTTTCGTGTGATGGTGATGTAACTTTTAAAAATATGTTGGGGAACATAACAATAACAGAATAATTATTTATTGAAATGAGTTCTTCGTCCTTAAATGTTAAAATGTGCGATTTTCTAGGGAAGAATCCAACCGACGCGTACCTCGAAGCCATGATGAATGAGGCTCCAGGGCCCATAAACTTCACCATGTTCCTTACCATGTTTGGGGAGAAGCTGAATGGCACAGACCCAGAAGATGTCATCAGAAACGCTTTTGCTTGCTTTGATGAAGAAGCAACTGGTGAGCACTCTTTGTTTATGCCCAGCCTCATTCCAGACTATGTGAAACACTTTTTAGGGAATGAGAAAGATTAGCAAAATATAAATTTTTAAAAATGAGTAGAGGGAAACTATTATTTACGATAGGACAGTCGACCAAGAATGGCTAGAACGCAGGGTAGGTCATAAAGCTACACGGTTTGTGGTGTTAATCTTTGAATCTGGTTCTGAGCTTCCTGGAAGTCAAAGGGAGAATTTTCTTTTAAATAGTGTTTCTTAGACGATATACTGCTTCAAGAAACTTTAAGTTTCACCAGAAAGTGTAGTTAACTAACTTGGACAATTAAAATCTTCGTTTTTTTCCCCTTATTATTTAAAAATGTGTGAAGAAAGCCCTGCTGTTCCGTTTTCTGATTTCTCTCCTTTTCCCCTTTGCTTCTGCGTTAACCCTTTGCTCAGCCACGCGCATCGCCTCCTCACATATACCTCGCATCCTCCTTCCTGCTTCCCCCTTGCTACCTGTTAAAACTGCACCGTCCTTCGTGCACGTTTGGCCTTGGCAACGCTGCCCTTTTGTTCTGGGTATCTGCCTTTTTTTTTTTTTTTTAATATCTCTGAAATACAAGGTACTTTTTTCTCCTCTGGAAAATACTCGCTTCAAATTAATTTTGTAAGCGTATGATCTACTAACTGACTTTGTAAATGATTTAATCTAATATTAATAAAGAACTCTAAAAATAATAGGAAAAGATAAGGATATGGTTATATATTGCTTTATATTGTTCAGGTAAATATGTTTGTTCTGAAATATCTTGTAAGATTGACGTAGTTGAGAACCAAATCATTAAAGTGCCGGGAAGTGTTTGCAACTTCCCTTTTTCTGCTGCCTTCCAGGCACCATTCAGGAGGATTACCTTCGAGAGCTGCTGACCACGATGGGAGATCGGTTTACAGATGAGGAAGTGGATGAGCTGTATAGAGAAGCACCTATCGACAAAAAGGGGAATTTCAATTACATTGAGTTCACGCGCATCCTTAAACATGGAGCGAAAGACAAAGATGATTGAAAAGAACTTGAGCTAAGACTTTCCAATTACTTTGTCTTACTCTGTTTTATTTCCCAGACACTTGCCCCCTCATAGACCTGTTGCATGCAACTTAGTTTCACAGCTTTGCCTCTTTCTCGGTGTATTTATTCTAGACCTTTCTGCCACTTAGCACTTGTATAATCAAACTGCAAATGGGGATGAGGTTGTAAATTGTATTGAGAAAAAGCATTGCGAATAAAAATCAACAAATGTGAAAGCCCAGGAAAATATATCCGGTATTTCTGGTTTTGCTGGATTTTTACATTTTTATATAATAAAAATGCTATTTTGAAATAAAGATTATGCTGACTCAGATGTAATATAATGGAAAGTTAAATAACTGGTAGTTGGGGGTAGTCCTTTTTTTAGATTTTCAAGTTCATATAATTCAGATTCCATAGTAAAACTGATTGTTCACATGTATGGGACAGTGTTCTTCAGTATAAGTTAAATAACATCATTATACAGTAAAAACTGGTTGTACCTTAGTTTCTTTCATGCTTCTGGTAAGTCAGATGTTTAAATTATTGAATGATAAATACAGAATGTATCTGAGAAAACACTGAATGTTTTACTGATTTGAATCTAGGAACATGAGGCAAAATTCTGAAGCCAAGAATAGTTATTATTGAACATTTACAGTGTGTAAAGCATTGCATGTAGACGATTTTCATTGACTCTTCCCAGCACCCTTGTGGGATAGAATTTTATTAGCCCTGTATTTCAAGGGGAAGAACTGAGCACCAGGGAGTCAAGTGATTGATCTGAGTCTCTGTCAGAGCTGGGACTCCAGGCCAGGGCGCCCCACTCCAGAGTGTGGATTCTGGGACCACTGTGCTGTCTCTGAAAAGCCCCAAATGCCTAAAAGGTCAAGATATTTCCATTACATTCTAACATAGTTTTGTAGTCATTATTGAAATTTAAAATAACTTGGGGACATTGATTGTTGGAACAGAATTTCAGAAAATTCTATCCAGGTGAAAAATAGAGGACCAAAGATTATAAGCAATATAATCTTCCAACCGCCTTCAGTTGGAAGGTGGTTCACATAGTGTAGAGTGTAGACTGGATGGAAGGTCTGAAAACCATACAGACAAGGCTGCTATGAGCTCGCTTAACATCCTCAAGGCCAAGCAATATGAGAAGTAGGAGAGAAAAACCTAAAAAAAGAAAAAAATCCATTTAAAAAAAAAGTTCCCCAACGTTGTTCAACACCTATTCCCTCTTAAATGTATTGATATTCTATCTCCTTAAAATCGATGCATTTACACGTCGTTTAACATTTGTGCTTCCGAGCTTGCTGTGGTAGGCAAATCCTTGCTATCAATTAATTTTTCTAGGTTTTTCATCATCTTTAAAAAGAGCAGTTCCACTCTCGTGGTCTAGTACAAGAGAAGTGCTTTGCAGTTCATAAGAGCTTTCGCACTTATGACCTAATCCTCACCGCCCATGAGGTAAGTAGGGCAAGTAATATCCCTGCTTTTCATATGAGAGCTGAAGTTTAGAACAGCCAAAGCACCTGTCCGAGGTCCCACAAGAACAAGAATCCACATCTGGCTCCCTTTTCTACTTCCAAGCGTAAAGTCACATGCAGTGTCAAAACCAGAATCACCGTGTGTAGAAGGAGAAGGGGAAGCGTACTGGGATCATTTTGACTGTCATTAACAAATGCTTATCAGTCACCTGTTATGTGCCAGGCACTGTTCTCTGTTGGGGATAACTGGGGGGGGGCAGGACAAACAAGGACGCCACCCTCCTGGGGCTCAGCTCCTTAGTGGGAGATCAGGAAGGCACCTCTAAGTATCGTGGGACACAGAACTTGAGCAAGTGCAGAGAGGGCCTCTGAGGTGAGATCTGAATCACGAGAAGAGGGTCCCCGTGTGGAGGTCAGGGAGGATGTTCCACTCACAGGGGACGGTCCTTCCAAGGCAGGCGCTGGCGGAAGCACTGGGAGAGCTCAAGGGAAGGACATAAGGATGGTGTTTGCTGCGTGGTCTAGTCTACGTGCAGAATCAGGGCTTTGGGCAGGGAAGAAATGTGAATTATGTTTTAAAAACTCAACCTTGCTGCTGAGTATAGAATGGAGGGCAAGAGTAGCAGCAAGAAGACTTCCAGTTAGGAGGCTATCACTGTGGTCCAGGCAAGTCAAGAGGGTGGCTTGGTCTCCAGATGGTCGCGCAGGTGGCTCTGCTGCCTGACCTATTTACTCTGTTCCAGCCTTTTCTTGTCACCAGCTCTCTGGCGTCATTTTAACTGCATTTATTCTTTTGCTCTGCTTAAAGGCAGATTTGAGAAGATTGGGAGGTTGAAAAAGTTTTCAAGATTAAAAACAAGAAAAACTGTCTCTTGAATGCCTTATGTTGACCTGACGTAACCCATTCTGTTTCACCCATAGTATCTATAAAGAGAGTAGTGGAATCCAGCATGCACTATAAGGCACCTCTGCTAGGACCTTTTTCCTCTCTGGTTCAATAAATATTACTGATGATGCTGAAAACTCTATTTTAGTATCTTTCCTTTTTTGAGAACAACTTAGTAATGATCTCTAAAATTGACAATTGATGCCTTGGCCAACACAATTGGAATGTGTGTTTGTGCTCAGGTAGTTAAAACTATGCTGAATGGTTGCTCTGTACTAAGCATGTACACTACTGGCCTTTGAGGTAGGTTTTTGTTTTGTTTTGTTTTAATTATCCTTGTTCTACAGATAAAGCACTGAGGCGCAGAGAAGTAACTTCCCCAGGTTACACAGGTAGGAACCAATGGGACCATAATTTGAGTCCAGTCAGTCGAGCTCCTGAACCTGCCCTCTCAGAAAAATAATTATTGAAAGTAACACCACTGGTTTTTTACCATTGTACAGGAATTTTAAAAGCATTCATTATTGCATTTGATCCTCAGAACTCTAGGAGGTGGATAAGGTAGGCATTATTATCCCATTTTACAGGTGAGAATACTGAGTTATAGACGTTACCCCACTTGCTCAACTTTATATATAAAGTACACAGTGTCTGAGCCATGACTAGCTTTTAAGCTTTTTGAGTGAGGGTGCTTCTCATTAAACCTATAATTTCCTAATTAGATAATACCTGTAGCCTGATCAACATCTTTTTCTCATTTATAAATGTATATATACCATATATCATATATATGAAAGCCATTAATATTTATAAAATTGAAATTATGTTTAGTTATACATTTAATGAATCATGTTTCCTGATAAAATAATTGCATAAAAATGAAGTTTTAAATTCAGCATATATATGAATAAATACTTGAATAAGAATTTTCTTGATTGTAATTTTTTTAACATTTTAGTGTTTTTGAAAACAAAATGTCTTACAATCAATGTATATATTCAATAGTTTATCCTTAAAAATAATTGCATCAATGTTGCATCTCAAAATTGAAAGGTCTAAAAAAAAAAATGAAGGGTCTTAAAAGATAAAAAACATTATTTGGAATATACATATATAAACTACTGAAAAATCTGGTGTGAATAGGCTCTGTCATCTGGGAAATATGAACGAGGATGAGAAAGTTTATCACATACTGAAATTTTGGGGAAAATTTTCTTGGACAGAAAAATGGGGAAGATTACAAATTGCATACATCACTCTGTACTTAATCTCGGGTCAATCGTTTTTTTAGAGCAGGCGATGTCATATGCACTCTTAGAGACAATAACTAGAAGGGTCACTAGATGGCACTATTATTCTTAGTACTGTAGTAACCTATTCCGTAGTGAACTTGAGAGTGACAAAGCATGAATAATCAGAGAGCATTAGTCCAATAATGCTGTAACTTTGTCAAAATTGTTTCTTAAAAGGAAAGAATTGATGATAAAGTCTGTTACAATTAAATTCATACTATTTTGTGAACCCCAAAATGCAGGGAGCGATCTCTAGGACTCCTTACAACGCAGCATTCATTTGTTCATTCATTCAATCATTCGTTCACTTACAAATATTTATTGAGTGTTTTGAAAGTGCCAGGATCTCAGTGAAGCTCTGGTTATTTTCACACTGAAGTAATGACTTCTTTTTTCAAGTAAGAGCGCAGGCTTCGCACTAGTAAGACCTGAATCCTCCACTTACTGGGTCATCTTAAGTAAGCCCTCATTATTATTATAACTTCTGTTTTTGAGATGAGAAGAGTAAGGCACAGAGCCAGTGGCTGTGGATGGAAATACTTTGTAAAATCGTGCTTTCTATATGAATACTATTACTACCTCAAGAATGTCGAGGACTATGTCTAGTAGTAGTTCTATTTACATAATAGACTATTAAATCACACAATCTAAGCTTATTAAGATCAGCCTCGGGACTTCCCTGGTGGCGCAGTGGTTAAGAATCCGCCTGCCAATGCAGGGGACACAGGTTTGAGCCCTGGTCCAGGAAGATCCCACATGCTGCGGAGCAACTAAGCCTGTGCACCACAACTACTGAGCCTGTGCTCTAGAGCCTGCGAGCCACAGCTACTGAGCCCCGTGCCACAACTACTGAAGCCTGTGCTCCTAGAACCTGTGCTCCGCAACAAGAGAAGACACCGCAATGAGAGGATCGTGCACCACAACGAAGAGCAGCCCCCGTTCGCTGCAACTTGAGAAAGCCCACGTGCAGCAACGAAGACCCAACACGGCCAAAAACAAAGTTAACTAATTAATTTAAAAATATATATATATATATGCGCTAAAAAAAAGAAAACATTTCAAAAAAAAAAGATCAGCCTCAACACAAGTGACCATGAGACAGTTTCTCAGTGCAGCTCTTCCCTGCCTCAATATATGTCTTGGAAATACCATCAGAATCACAACGAAACAGATCTGAAGTGTTTTGGCAGAAGGATACTAGATGTGTGTTTGGGGTGTGAACGAATGAGTGTGTTTATATATAAAAAATTGTTTCAACGCACCTTGCAGGAAGCCAACCTCGTCTCTTATCAGCCTCACTTCTCCTGCAGTTGGTTTTGCTCGCAGGGCACAGTACTTCCTTTCAGACGCTCATTCTGAGTGAACATGATGACAGTGCATATTTACTCCCGGACGTTGCTAACTAGCACAGCAAAAATAAATCTGAATACTTTATTCACATTATGTAATAATCAGGGTGTAAATTGACAATGGCTCATTTAGGAGGTTGTGCTCATTGTACTTAAGTTCCCTTTTTATGTGTGATCTGTTTATTCAGTTCTTATTTATGGAAGTGGATATTATGTCCGAGTGTTACTGGTGATACAGAGATTCTGATTCTATTACTCGCCGTAAGTGTTATACTGCCCAGCCCTTTGGATGCGAGTAGTAAAGGTTAGGTTTCTCCTTTGGCCAGAATCCCAACACAACTGTGCTCTATCTATGCTGGAGCCACTGCAGCTGATGTCCTAACAGCTCACTGAGGGCGTCAAAGATGGTTTTCTAAAAAATGCCTCCTCTGACAATGACGTTCGCATCTCAGAGCTACCATTGTTTGCCTTCCTGTCAACCACTCACATAGCTAAGAACTCAAGCAAACACATGAAAAAGAAAAGCCTCTACTTTAAAAGTTTTATTGAAAATATTCAAGATTTCCTGCTTATTTTAGGGACAGTGAAAGAAATCCAGTGTTTTATCCATGTCAGGTCCCTACCAGATTATAAACAGTTGAGAGGAGGGTCCACTTGCTGAAAGGTGCCTTGAGAGAAAAACGCCCACTTCTCAGATTCGAAGAGGAAGCCCCCTCATCTCTAAAGTCTCCCTTGAGGTGTCGCAGCCAGTGGGGGCATCACAGCCTCCCACTCCAGGCTCACTCTAGCTTCCACAGCCGCCGCCTCACCCAGTTTATCAGGCAGCAGGGTTGGCTGCTCTACCCAACTCCAGAGCTTTTCCCTTTGCTTTAAAATTGCCCTTGAATTCAGCTCCCTTCCACTCCCTTTTCCCCACACAGTATTTTTACACCTTTGATGCCCAAACCTTGAAGGTAAATACAAAGACAGGCATCTGTAAACACAGAACGATGCCCACATTCATGGGAATAACAGCAATCTCAAAAAACAATCATGATGGCAAATTTTAATCAGTGACTCTGAGAAACTTCCCAAGCAAGAAAGATTTGTGTCCCAGTCTTGCTCTACCCTCATTTCATGTCTTTTTTTTTTAATTTTACATTTTCATTTTTATTTATTTATTGGCCGCCCCGAGAAGCATGAGGGATCTTAGTTCCCTGACCAGGGATCGAACCCATGCCC